CTATCTATCCTATCCTATCTATCCTATCCTATCTATCCTATCCTATCCTATCCTATCCCATCCATCCATCCATCCATCCATCCATCTATCTCTTTTTCGTCGAAAACGGTGTCTGAAACCATGGTTCGAACACTGTGTGTTTGAAACCATGATTGAAACTATGTTTCTGAAACTGGCACGCCCCAGAAAGCGCCTTTGTTTCCGAAAGTGTGTCCCATGTTTCTTAAGTTTCTGAACCTGTCCAGGCTGGACACGCATCACTTAGTTTGCAACCAAGAGAGAGAGAGAGAGAGAGCGAGAGAGCGAGGTCATTTTGTCTCGCCTTTCCCTCAATCTACCAATGCGAAATTCACCAAGTTTGAGGGAGTATGGTGGCGGAATTGTCTGCGAAACGTGGTTTCTGAAGTGAAGTTCATATCATAGAGCCATGCTACCAGTAGGGCTACTTGGCTCAAAAAGTGCCGCTTTGTGTCGGGCAGCACGGCTGTGAGGGCAAGACCGTCCGCCGCCTGTCATGGCAAGGGCTGCTGTGGGAGATGTGATCCAGGATCTGCTGGATGAGTTTTCTGAGGCAGTAAAAATGATGAAAAGTTGTTTCTTCCTGTGGGGAGGAAAGCCACTTCTTTAAAAAAGACTTTGCATGATTTGGGGTGTTCTATTGGTTTTTGGGTTGGTTCTATTCACTGCCAGGCTCAGAAGAGCTACCAGAACATTCAGGATAGGAAGGAGGACATGGATATCTTGACAGGCGAACTGAAGCGGGAAATAACACAGAGAAGATGAAGCGCTGATGAAGGAACTCCTTGTTGGCGAAGGGAGGTTCTTGACATTTTGAACCGCGCACTTAAAAACCACCGGACAACGTCGACGGGAAGAACTTCTTCATGGCTTTACATGAAGTGTATTTGTAATTTCCTCCGAGAATATTAGGATTTAGATCCGCCCAAACTGGAAGCTGATAGTGTTGAAGAACGAGAATTGCTCTTTGAGATTTCTAGAATTTCTAAAACACTAAACATGTAGATGCATGTAGGAACAAGAATGCTACTAGGGGCTCCTGACCTTACTACTAGGAGCAAGGACGCCACTAGGGCTCCTGGCATCGCTACTAGTAACAAGAAGCTACTAGAGACTAGATGCATGTAGATGGCATTTTTCCCGACTGACCTGTGGATTCACATGGAGAGGCCTTCACACGTCGCCGGAGGGTGATCCTTGCAGCCTTGGGGACTTGACGGCGGAGAAGCCAATTCAGGTGACGCACAACATCTTCGCGCTGAGGAGAAGTCGAACAGAGTCTACTCTTTCGAACTGGTGCCTGACCTAGAAGCTACTAGGGGCTCCTGGCATCGCTACTAGGAGCAAGGACGCTACTAGGGGCTCCTGGCCGTACTACTAGGAACAATGTTCGCTATTAGAAACAAGAAATAGATAGAATTTAATTAGAATTGAAACTAAAAGCTACTAGGACCTTTTCGCGCGCACGCGCAGGCGGGGGGGGGTAGGAGTAAGGTATGTTTCCAGAGTCGGCTCTTTCGAACTGGGGCCTGAAGTTGACTCTTAGCGATGGCCTCTAACCTAAGAGCGACGGCCTCCAACCTAATAGCGACGGCCTCCAACCTACTAGCGATGGCCTCCAACCTACTAGCGACGGCCTCCAACCCAATAGCGATGGCCTCCAACCTAGTAGCGATGGCCTCCAACCTACTAGCGATGGCCACTCTAACAAAAGGTCTAAACCGTTCGTTCAAGACTTGCATTCTGTATAGGACCACCATAGACGACTGTGAAGCCAAAGGCCGTGAACAAGCTGCTTGGCGGAATATATTGGTTGGTGTCGTTTCCTTAGAGCCGCTGAAGTCGTTCAGGATGTGGCACCATTCTCGGGCGTGCCCTCAAATTCCAATGAAATTCATCGTGTGTTGGATGGGACGGTGAAAATCAGTTCACGATGTCTTTTCCTCTCAGGTCGAGAGAGTGCTTTATGAGTTGGATGCGGAGGTCATGAAGGGCAAGTCTATCGACAGCTTTGAGAGACAGAAACAGTTTGAGGAGCACTGCAATCAACAGCCACAGAGCCTCAAGGCTTTGTTGCGATTCAAACACGATTTTCCTAAACTGTGGAGGACCACCGGAATCAGCAGCTGGACGAAATTCTCGAAGAGAAGCACGTATTGCAGTTCATCCAAGATGGTGCTGAGAGGCAAAGTGGGGCTGTGGCGCAATTCCTGGTGGTCGCAATTGGGGGAATTCAAATGAAGGAATAGGTATGAAAAAACCTAAGCTGGGAACAAGAAGCTACTAGTAGCAAGGTGCCTTGCTACTAGGAACAATTGTAAATAAAATGTTATCAATTGGATTAAGTTAAATAGATTGTGAAAGGATCATGCCACGCCACAGGTCACCTTTGATCAAAGATCCGCCCAAGCTTTCCTGTCCAATTTGACCTGCGAGACAAAGATCAAAACACGTCCATGGAAAAAAGCTAGTAGTAACAGGTGCATCGCTAGTAGTAACAAGTGCCTTACTAGTAGTAACAAGAAGCTACTAGGAACAAGTGCATCGCTACTAGGAACAAGTGCCTTACTAGTAGTAACAAAAAGCTATTAAGTTAATTTAATTCAGGCAAATTTCAAGGATGTACTTCACCCGATGAGTTGGGGGAGTCCTTCGAGCACATGGATGTGCTGATGCAATGCTTGGTCTAATGAGGTTTCCAAGAAACTACGACTTTAGTCACTACGACTTTATCCTCTACCCATTTCCGGAGGTCTTGGGCGCTTCGATTTGGTGCGTTGTTGTCTCGTTTTTGGACCGTCAGGTCACGGGTCTTGCTGGACTACGCGGACCTCACCGAGGAGAAGCTCGATCTGATGACTGAGGAGAAACCGCCCGCGATGAATCAGCTTTTGCCGCAACGAGGGTGGGACCAGGTAGAAGATACGGCCTGGTACACCCTAGGCCCTAGCCAAAGGA